GTCATAAATGCATTCGTTCCCTCCTCCCCCTCGGATTCTTCGATGCTTTCATCGAAGTGGTTCGGGGCTTCACAAACATGACTTTTCGAAAAAAATATAAAGTTTACGTTGCTCCTAAATGCTTCTCCACGTCTTTTTCGAATCATTTTTAAGAGCACGAACATGATCTTGAAGTTTACACTCCTCCGCCGTCTGCTGAAATTTCTTCCTACGTACCAGACACCCTGAGTGAAGGAAAAGCAGGTAGTGCGAATACTTCTTTTGTCCAAGAAAATCCGGACGAGTCGTTTGCGGGAAACGAAGCATTGGCTGCAGCCGGATTTGATTGCATGGTAAAGACCAACTTCTTTCATTTGATTTCTATACAGTAGCGGAAAAAATGTGATGCGTAGTGTGAGATCCCGATTTTTTATTTAAAAATCTTCTGAATTCGAGGCTCGTCTCTACTTTCTGTACTGTGTGGAAGGCGTCATCTGAATTAATAAATGCACGAAAAATTCCCCATCAACCAAATATAAATCTGACTTTCCGAACTAATGATGGGTTGGAATATTCAGGCGAAACTCATGTCGTAAAAGTATCGTATCGTCAGGGCTGTTTTCTTGAGTAAACCTGTAGCTTAAAAAAATTCTTCTTTTCGTTGAATTTTTTCATCTTCTGTTTGTTTCTTTTCGCTGAAATCTCATTGGTTAATAAAATTACTATATTGAGGATTTTATTTCACATTCTTGCTCCGTCTCTGGACAGACTGAGCAATATATGTGACATTCGTTCAGCGTTGAAGTTCCTCCGTATGAGCGTTGAATTGCAACATGTTTATTCTAGATTTTGAACCATGATAACGTTGCGGCTCAGCAACCGTCATATACGTCATCGTTGCCCTCCGTGGGGATGCAACGCTGTGACGCATCGTTTAGTCTTGGAGGTGTATCTGCAGTGAATCGACCGACCACCGAAATGGAGGCATCAAGAGTGAGAGAAGACATTTTTCGGAATCAGTTTTCAAATTTTTCGTCAGAGGCGGTAAATGGTCTTTCTGTTCATCATGGACCCGCTTTCCATTCGAAAACATCACCATATACAAAAATAAATACTGTACAGGTGGACTTTTTTTTTGCAACGAAATTCAAGGAAACAGATAAGAATCGTTGAGAGAATTTCGTTGTGGAGTTTCCCTAGAACATGGGGAGAGAACCTTATGGAACCGAAAAAATTATGTTAAAACGTTGAATAGGGAAAAACGTTGCAGAGAGAGAGTTCTCCTGTATAACCGAAGAAAGCACGCTGAAATCTGTGTACAGAAAATTTTTACGAAAAGGGATTGAAATAAAAAGTTTGAGGACAAATTGTTCCCGCAAATAAAATGTTATTAAGCTGATTACGCTCTTTTTTCTGATTTGTGGAAAATAAATGTAAGAAAATCCGAATTTTTGGCTGAAGAAAATTAAAATTTTGACTACCGTAAAGCAATTTCCCCCCTGGAGACTTCGGGAACTGTCTCCACGAAGAACAGTAAAGCACTGAGGCAGTGAATGCAAAAAACCTTTTGTCAGATCCCTCGTTAGTTGGTCGAAATTTTGTGCTTTAAGCTCAAAATTGTCTTTATTTCAAAGAATGCGGATGCCAAGAAGATATCTCATTTGCCCGAGCAAAATTCTAAAGATTCTGTGGCAATTTATTTTTTATTCGTTTTTGCTTTCGTTTTCATTTTCACGTTTTATTCGTGTTTTAGTTGGTATCGCTGAGCGTGCAGTATTTGATCATGCTCGTGAAGAATATCCTGAATGGACGAATGTCTTCTGATTTTGTTGTCATCAGGTAAATCCATTTCGACCTGATACTAATCATATATACAGTACGTTAATTATTGCTGTATACAGCGTTGAAAGCAAAATTCTCTCCTTAACCTTTTTCAGCTAAGCACTTTTTTAAAATTTCAAAATCTATTAAGATTTCTAGATCATACTGTGATTGATTTTGCTTCAAAATTTACTTTTAAAAATTGCTTATTTTGAATGAAAATATATTTTTTGCTCTCCACTAGGAAAACGGAACCATCGAACGTAATGGAATACAGCTATTCGTGCGTGGTGAGCGCACTGAAATTAATACTGGAAAATTTGCAATTGAAACGAATTTTGGTAATCGAAATCGACTCCACGCATCGTACGGACATCCAGAAGGAGTTCTATCACGACAGAAGGTTCGATCCGTAGCTGTACCATGAAAGGAAACTTTTAAAATTTCTCTTGCTTCTTTCAAGGGTCTTGTGTTGCTCCGTTTTCCACGCTTCGACGTCTCTATGGACTCCCAACGAAGTTGGCGCAGGTATTGGAGAAGGGTTCAACGTGAACGTGCCTGTCAGAGTCAACAAATGCATGGATGGAGATTTTCTGGCGATTCTTCAACGGATTATATTACCTGTCAGTTACGAGTTCAACCCCGAATTGGTGTTTTTTCTCGTGAATGCAGATTCTTTCAACGCTCCTGGAAAACACGTACGTCCGCAACGTTCCGGAAAGACAAAAGAAAGTTAGGGAGTGTTTCTTTTCGTACTGGCGAACCCAAGACTGAACAATTATCTGTTCTTAGTTCAAGTACTGTACTTTTTTCGAAGAATTACGCAAGATGGTGGTTTTTTGTAGATAGGTGCCAGAGCTTTTGAAGACCAACATTTTAAACCTCTGTTCTCTAGAATCTGGATAGTCTAAAATAGGCTGTGTTGAAATACCTTTCCCGGACGTTTTTCCTGAAAACACTCCGTCGAAATTGCTGTTATTCTTGCTGATTGCACGCTTATGTATTTACAGGCTTTCGACCTCACTAAGGCCTTTTACGATCATATGCGGCACGCTGTTTTTGGTCTTGCTGGCGGAAAAATTTGTTCTGGGTTTTTGGTGAGTAAGCCTTCTAGCTTTGGGTCATTTTCAAACGACAAGCATCTGAAGTGTGTGGCCTGTGTCCGTGCCCGCGGAAGTTATTATCAATGATTTTCATTCTGTATTTTAACAACCTACTGTATTTCCAACAAATTCATAGAATTCAGCTTCAGATTCGTGAAGAAGCTTTGAGGATTAAAGTTCATTTGTTTGTTTTCTGTAATCTAATCCAATTAGCATAAGAATAATACCACCGAATGAAGAGAAGGGGCTCTCTTCAACTGCGGTAATAAGCCCGACGTCCTATGCTCAGTAATTTCATTAGCCATCATATAGGTATAAACGGTATTTTTTTACGTATTATTTCGATGTCTATTTGAGATAATCTGGGTTACGTTTATTCGGCTCAAGTTCGATTGCATCAGGGAAGTTAGTTAGAGTTCAGTTGGTTGATTTCTTATTTATTCATCAGTTATTCAGGCGACGCCTGCCTTAAAATTCAGAACGAAAGGTCGTTGAAGGGACGAAAATGTGTCAGATTTTTTTTCCGAATTTTATTTTAGAGTGACGTGTTGGGACCAAGTTGGGTTCGGTTCTTGGCAAACGGATTAGCTTGTCCGAATATTTCTCATTTCAATTCGCGGCGAGTCTCACCAGGGTATGTCTTAACGCCTTGTCTGCTGTTACACATGAGATTCAAAAAATGTCTTCTACGTTCTGAAGGATAAAAGCCACGATTCGGAGATGCTGGTCTGTTTTGAGTCGCCATTGGAAATCACTTGCTTGGCTGGGTGACGTAGGGTTGGATCCTCCAGGTGCGGAAGAAATCTTGCAAGTCGTCAAGGAAGAACGAAGTACGTGCCCCATTTCAATAGATAACGTAAAAATCCCGCGTGTTGGTGCTAAAACGTCTTTTTTTTAAGTAGAGGAGGAACATTTTGTCTCCTTCGATACGAAATCGGTTGCATTGGTGTACGACGAAAAAATGATGCTTCACAAGATGCCAAGAAGTCATCCGGAGAAACCCGAGAGAATAAAAGCCATTTGGGCGCATCTGCTCGAAAGGAGACTGCTGGAGCGTTGCCTTATTTTAAAAGTAAGTCATTTTTTCATGATTCAGCAGGTGATTCGCTACGTAATTATATTATTAAAAAGCTTGAAATAAAAATTGTTATTACTTTCGTAGGCGAGGGAAGCTGATGATAGCGAGTTGAGTTTATGTCACCTTCCGAAGTACGTTGAGCACATGGATGCTTTGACGGAAAAACTCAAGGCCCCTATTGTGACGCTCGAAATGAACGAAAACTCAATCTATGCGAGCAAGAGTACAAACCAATGTGCAAAACTTGCAGCCGGGTCTTGCATTGAGGTAAAAAGTCCTTTTCTTTTAAATATTGGTGGGTTGTCTTGTAAGCAATCCGAAGTCCGGATGTAACATCGGGTTAATCATTTTTGGTATTGTTCCCATCGTTCTCAGTATCCTAAATTTTGTTATTGCATAGTTGTCGCTTAAGAATTTTTCAATTTTTCCCTATGTGTGTGTTTGGTTAATATGTATCGTTTAATTTAGTTTTTGTCAAGTTTGACTGGATTTTATATTCATTTCAGACCCGAGTTCAGTTTTAGTCAGATTAGTTATTCAGGCGACAACTGTTCGACGTTTGAAAAAACTACGTCGCGTGAAAAGAACGGAAAATTATTTCAGTGGAAAATTGAAATGAATATCAGAAAGCTGCATTAGCAATGAGCATGGCAAATATATTTTTTCATCTTATTTGAAGTCAAAATTACACAATACCTTTTTTTGTCAAGGACGATTTTTGCGTAATCGGAGAAATCGTTATTATTGAATGGAAAGAGAAAAATCAATTTGATTATATATATTTTTTTAGCTTGTGAAAGCTGTTCTTGAGGGTAAAGCCTTGTCGGGATTCGCAATCGTTCGGCCACCTGGACACCACGCGGAGCGAGATTTTTTCTTCGGATTCTGCTTTTTCAACAATAAACGTATTCTGATCATTGACTGGGATGTTCATCACGGCAACGGAACTCAGAATATGTTCGAATCTGACCCGCGGGTCCTCCTGGTGAGCTTACACCGCTTCGGATCGGACGTTTTTCCCGCGGGGCCAGATGGGGATTTTCACAAAACTGGCATTGGCGGTGGAGTAGGTTACAACATCAATATCCCTTGGCACACTGTGAGTATCTTACATCTAGATTCTAGAGATCTAGTCCAGTGCCGCCAAACTCAGATGTGGCCAAGAGCCTCGTTAGTACATTTTTCAAGGACAAGGGGCCGCATTGCAGAGTCGGAGAGTTCTTACAGGGCACAATAGCCATTTTTAGAGGATGCAAATTTTCCCTTTTAAAGGAGAACTTCTAAATTCAGTTCAGTGCTGTTTATTGAATCACGAGCATAGCCTTAGAATTCATAAGGGTGGAGCAACATTTTGAATGTCTCAATTCATCTTTCAGTATGCAGGTACAGTATATTGTGAATAGTGGTGGCTGCCACCTTGAAAATTATTGGGAAGGGACTTCGGGACAGAAGAAGAGCTTCTGCGGGCCGGATGCGGCCCGTGGGCCGTTTTTTGGGCAGCACTGGTGTGGACTATTTTCAGTTTTTTGAACAACCCTGCATCGTATGCAAGAATTTTTATATCCAGAAACAAAATATGAATAATTTTTTCATCTTTGTCTGGTTTTACAGGATGAATATCCAAAGCCATTTGGAGCTCCTGAATATATTGCGGCATTTCTGCACATCATCCTGCCAATCGCGTACGAATTCGACCCAGAGTTGGTTCTCATTTCTGCTGGATTTGATTCACTGAGAAATGATCCATTAGATAACCGTAAGTTTTTGGTTGCTTGAAAAGTTATAATGACATTTTTCACATGTATTATGTTTCGGCCATTGTTCGTGCCATACAAATAGTTACGTAATTGAAGACTAAAAATACAATTCCGTATAGTTTCTACTAAGCTTACACTACATCCTAAGTTCTGGCATTACTTCATGCACAGGAGCAGTTCAAATACTGTAGTATGAAGTTTTGCGATTGAACGTGCCGATTGCAATGTCTGCTTTTATTCACAAACAGTGTTGTAAAAAATATGTTCATTACTTCTGTATGATGTAATTTTGAATTGGGTTTCTCTTGAGAGAAAAACTAGAGATGGAAGGTGTTTTTCCAATCCGAAGGGAATACTATATTGTACTGAAAACCAGTGAATGAACTGGTCTTTGTCTCATGCGAGCATGTTGAATTTGAAGGTGTCCAGTTGGACCCAGAATCATTCGCTCACATGACGCATCTGCTGTCGTCTCTCGCACAAGGCCGAGTCGTCATGGCCCTGGAAGGAGGCTATCACTTGCCGGATCTTTCGAAAAGTGTCGGACAGTGTGTATCGACAATGCTTGGTGATCCATTGCCGTTGCCGGATCCGGGGGTGAACGCAGACTGGTCTGTGAATCGTCGAGCGTCCAACGTTTTCTTCAAACTGGGTCGGAAGCTCAAAGACCAATGGTCAAACGTCGACGTTCATGTACGGATGAACAAAGACGTCTCTGATTTCGTTCCTGTTACCTTATGACCTTCCATTTAGCGGAATTATCTTTTTTTTTTGGTTGTGGGGAGGAGAAATTCAGAAAACGACCTATTTAGGAACGGGATTCTTCCACCTATTTTCAAAAATGAACTGTGAATTATTTCATAGGCCCGCGAAATTTTTGGCTTTTCAGTATGCTGAGAGAAAATAGGGGATATTCTATGAGTTTCCGAGAGAAATATCTTCTGGCATCGATTTCTGTATCCGTTTTCGTTTTAACCGATTACATTTTTTAGATTGACTGACGGGACTCCTGGTGTGCGCCCGTTCCTGAACCCAGCCTTTCACCATGTTCTGAAGAGTTTTTAATTGACATGTACGCATTTTTCCGCCCTGTGCAAGACAAATTTCATTTCGAAAAATATTTCATCTGATTGATACGGCAATTTAAACCTAATCCATTTTGAAATTGAGTATTTTATGAGGAGGAATTTCGTGCAAGGCTGGAACTGCTCGTGATGGGTTCTCGGAACAAAGGTTTACCAAACGATCTCGTGAAAAAAATGTGATTTTTATCAAGGCATTTATGGATTTCATTTTGTCTAGAAGAGACGTCAAAAGTTTAAAATTTGATGCACTGGCGAATTTTGTTTTTGTTAATTGTAGCAAATTCTGAGAATTTCATGTGATTGTTCGGCGTTGCAATTGTTGGTTGGGCAATTAATCAGTCCAGTCTTGCCCAAGACGTGTTGACTCAATTCGTTGCCAATTATGAGGATTGTTTCGGGAAATTATGTGTTTCATGCGGAATGCGGGTGATGCTCCTTGGTGATTTGGTGAACTTCTGTCGTAGCAGTCGAACATAGAAAATTATCGCTTGAAGGGTGTGATCATTCTCTTCGAAATTGCAGAAGTGAAATCGTCTTTGAAAATTATCGTTGAGTTCTTCTAATTCCAGGGATCCGTTGTCGATATGCTTTGCGATTTTTTTTAATTCATGGACGAATTCGATTCGAGAACATGTCAGATACATTTAGAGGGTTGACGGCAGCATTGTTCGAGTCGTATTTCCCGAAGGTGAGATTTTTCCCTTGTATCTTTCTGAGATATTCTTCGTCAGATGATCAATTTTCATGTCTAGCCTTGGGTTGATATTTTCAATTTACAGATTGCATTTCATGGGGGCTCAGAAATTTCATATTTGTTTGCGATTCGGATCAAAGATGTAGTTTCGGAAATTATGCTGCGGTGGGAGGGGAAAATCCGCTGAATTTTCGAATAATTTTATCTTTTTTTTCTCGTCAGAGTTTTTAAGGCGTATTTCGTCCAAACATGTCTGCAATAAAAACATGGGTCAACGATCATCTCCACGACTTGATCGGATTATCAGATGCAACAATCGTTGACTTCCTTGTTGGTGTTGCTCGAGAATCCGGTTCAGCAGCTTCGTTGCTGATGAAACTCGAAAAAGCCGAAGTCGTGGAAATGAGTCCGAAAATGGAAGACTTTTTGGCGGATCTGTGGCTGAAGGTAAAATTTTCGAACTTGAAAAAATTTACTGTATACTATTCCGTTTTATGCGTCGAACTTGACTATCTTTTCCGTGTGATAAGCGTTCAAAAATTTCAGATCACTTCAATGTAAAAGTCGTCTTAAATTTTATGACGTGCTGCTTTTGCCGACAGTCATCTGAAGTAAGTGGTTAAAATTTGAAATTTATTATAACAAATCCTCGCTACATTTTTCTTCAGTTGGATGTTGAGAGACAAGTTGTATCATCGTACTTTTAAACGTTCGAGAAAATTAGCCTGGCAAGTGATGCTCGAATGTTCCAGTGATCAAGAGACTCCATTGATGTCGAACAATTTTACTTCGACGAAAACTCATAAAATATTTGCAGGTATTGCCTTCATATTTTTGATAACAGCACCAGGGTTGCGTCGTATGATCAATAGTATTTTATTTTCGAATTAATTTGGCTGATTTTTGCATGGAAATTCAAGTACAGTACAGTATTGATCAAGTCATTACTTTATTCCGTTGATTCATAAATCAAACTTTAAAAAAATTTAGTTACATCCGCCGGCGACGAAATCCTATCGACCCTCATCGCCAGAGAATGTCTTTGCGCGTCCGTCTGCTCCAGTTCCTCGGAAAAGACGTCCTGCTAAAAAACCCACTTCTGACTCTGAAGAAGATGATTTCGAGTCTGAAGAAAAAGAGCGTCAGAAAGACCTCGCGGCTCGCGACGAATTTGCCAATCGGATGAAGGAGAAGGACAAGGAAGCGACCAGAAAAGTTGCCGAAAAGCAGTCGCAAAAGGCCGTCGAAGAAGCATCGAAGCGTTTAAAACTCGCCTCCGATGTCGGGAAGAGCGGTGAAATCATCCCCGTTCTGCGAAAAGAATCCCGACGAGAGTATCTCAAGAAACGGAAAGCTGAGAAATTGGAGGAAATGGAGGAGGATATTTTGGACGACGAATATCTGTGGGATGAAACTCAGTTGACTGACAAGGAGAAAGAAGAAAGAGATTATAAGAAAACTGTGTTGAAATTGGCCAAAGAACATGATGCAGCTGGATCGTTGGAAAAAATTCATCGCTACCACCTTCCGTCGGAAGATCAGCAGGAAAAATATGTTGAGGTCGATGACGAAAGATTGCGGTGAGTGGGCGTCTGTGTTGTGGCCCTTGGCTGATAGTATGCCATTTTTTTTTTTCTAATTTTGGCTGAATGTCTTCAACGTTTTGGCCAAAAACCGGGGTATTTTGTTCCTCTGGTTCTTTCAGTTCCGTAATATAAAAGGATATATATATGTATGACGTTTCTGAATACTTCGCCGGAAGGATTACATTATCCAAGAGATAAATTTCCTTGCACTATACGGTTGGATGACGATTTTTACGATTGGGGTTTAATGTCGATGGGCAGTGAAGGGTATTTTGATTTAATGCTCATTTCTAACTCGAATTTTCTTTTTTTAATTGATAACTTTTTTGCGTTGTTTTTCTTCATCGAGCGACTTTTTTTTCGTGAACAGTTGAATTACCCATTTCAGCACATTTCAGCAAAATAAGAAATTTGAAGAAAACTGGAATTATTGACTTTTACGTTGCATGGCACGTATTTGGACACGATACTGTCTCAGATTGGCTGAAAATCTATGCTTCATTTGGTCTATTTAAAATGGGGTAGCTCCATGTTTTAAAATTGTGGTTAGAATGCCATTTTCGTTTCCTTTTCAAGTTCGTTTCAATTGATTTTCTTAACTGAGAGAATATTTATTCATTTATTTAAAGGCAACCGAATTACGAACAGACTATATGGGAGGAGGAAAAACTTGCTCGAGCTAAAATGACTTTCGGTGCAAAAGACCGGAAGCCTCGTGAAGAAGAGTATGAGCTTATTTTGGACGATAAAATTGACTTCGTCAAATTTGCGACTCTGGGTGGCGACGATGAAGAAGAAAAACCGGAGCTGATCAAGAAACGAGAGAGGCTGACGTTGCAAGAAGTTCGACGATCCTTACCCATTTACCCTTTTCGAGACGAGCTTCTTGCTGCGATTGGAGCACATCAGGTGCTGATCGTAGAAGGTAAATAGCATTTTCCGCAGTTAATCCAATCAAATTTAAGTTAAAAAAAAACGTTGAGCGTAAAGTTCCTGATTCATGAAACTGGATCAAAATAGAACTTCGGTGTGTTTTACAGTAGGTCACCTGGGAAATACAATAAAAATATTTTTTTCAAGCAAAGATTCAGCTTTAATCGAAGAAGACTTTTACAGTTATGACTTCAGGATCTTTAGTATAAAAAGTTTAGCTTAATTTTTGTTACTGAATGGCGATGATACTCACGAACAGAATCGTTTACTTTGAACGCCTGTTCTTGTGTTTTAGAATATCTGGCGGGCATCATCATGTTTCACTTGACAAAATGCTGAAAAACCAAGCCCGAAGAAAGAATGATGCCCTGACCGAAAATAACTTGAGATACGTACAACAAGGTCAAATTGAAGCGTCATCTATGTAACGGTGAAGAGAATGATGAATTAAAGGACGTGGTGTAATGAAGCGAAAGAATCCAACAAGTTTTTTGTTTTTGTTTTGCCATTGATATTTAGCTCGATAGCTTGGGAAGTCACTGATGCGTGTTCGTCCAATTTGACGATTTAGTATCACGCCGAAGTTTAAAAAGTTGCTTTCTCCTGGTTTTCTTTTCGGAGTTTTTGTTCATTTTGTGAACTTCTTGATTTTTAGTCGTGGTTTAACTTTTCAAGAAGTTATAGTAAATTTGAAAAATGTTGGTACTTCAGCGCGAACGATCTCGATGGTTCATCAAAGCGTTCGAATAAATCTTGAATTATTTTTGAAGTCGTCATGCATTAAATTTGACGCTTGGTCCTTCATGTGATTATTTTTCTTAGGGGAAACCGGAAGCGGTAAAACCACCCAGATTCCTCAATATTTGCACGAAGCGGGGTACACGAAAGACAAAAAGAAAATCGGTTGTACGCAACCTCGACGAGTGGCTGCGATGTCTGTAGCAGCCCGTGTAGCAACAGAAATGGACGTGAAGTTGGGAAACGATGTTGGATATTCAATTCGATTCGAGGATTGCACATCGGAGAGAACCATTCTCAAGTACATGACTGACGGTATGCTGTTGCGGGAGTTTTTGTCGGAGCCAGATTTGTTGTCCTACTCGGTGTTGATAGTGGACGAAGCTCATGAAAGAACGCTGCATACGGACATCCTGTTCGGTCTTGTAAAAGATGTTAGTCGGTATGTAACGTTTTCGAAAGGACCTTGATGAAATGTCCCTGGATTCTATTACGGCATCAGAATCAACAGATTCTCTCGAGTTTCTCCACTTTATTTAGCGCTAAATGGGAAAATTCCAAAAAAAGTTGACAAAATATTCATTAGTAACGTACGTTTCAAACATGATACACTTTTTGAAATCGCGCCGAAACATTTCTTGCCTAATTGATGTTTCAATTTTAATTGTGTGCTGCATATTTCATGTATTCACGGGCTAGTTGTCTCCTCTTAATTGAACCATAACATAATTTTTTATATTCCCAATTCCATGTGCAATTACTATCGCACAGTTCTGCAAAAATGCTATTGGAAAAATACTTGTTAACTGTACTTTTTAATTTTTAAAGCTGGGTTTTATGAACCTAACACAATTTTAGTTATTTTTTGCTGCAAAGGAATCCAGGCCGCAATGACGAAGTTACTCCCCTTTGAGTAAGTGAGGCCTTTTTTTTTTTACTGTTAGGTTTCGTCCTGATCTGAAGCTCATCATATCTTCTGCGACGTTGGACGCGGAGAAATTCTCCACGTTTTTCGACGATGCACCGATTTTCCGAATTCCCGGTCGTCGGTTTCCGGTTGACATATTTTACACAAGAGCACCAGAAGCTGATTACGTGGAGGCCGCTGTTGTGACGGTGCTGCAGATTCATTTGACACAGGATGTTCCCGGCGATGTGCTCGTGTTCTTAACTGGACAAGATGAGATTGATACGGCACAGGAAATTCTGTTGGATAGAACGCGGAGACTGGGATCCAAAATCAGAGAATTGGTCGTATTGCCGATTTACGCCAATCTGCCGTCCGAGATGCAGGTTAGTTGACTTCACAGCGGGGTTCTATTTATGAATATAGAGCGTTGTTCTATCTACACTGCGCGAAACCAACCCCTTTTTTCTAGTTCGACACGTTAATTTTTAGCTTCTGTTTTTTATTTCTTGTGTAGTATTCGGAATCGGATGAAAGGAAATATAAAGCCATATAACTGATGGTCGTACGTTTTGTCATTATTGAAGGGATACAATGAATATTTGACTTATTCTGTTGAATAAGACTCCGATTGGGATAATTCTGTATCCAATGCATGTGGAAAAATATGGAGTATGTAACAGAACAAGGACGTTGTGTTTCAGTTTGAATTTCTTCTGGGATTTGCGAACAATTTATGTGTACTGTACTTAATAGTGGTGAAAAATCTTGACCATCGTGAAATATAGCGTAGATGATGACATTGCTGGTTGGTTAAATTTTGAACTTTGACAACCTTTGTAATACTGTAATCTCTTTGATGAATGATTGAAGTGGTGTATTCCTTTTTGGCATTCTTTTTTTATGGCCCTTCGCTTTTATTGGCGTACTGGTACATCTACTGTACATTTGTTTTTCTAACAATTCGAGTAAAGCCGCAAAACCTCGGCATCATGCACAACAGCACAAGGGACGTGATTCAAGGCTGAATGGTTATTTTTCTTGCACTGTACTGTACTACAATAGCTTGGTTAGTTCAGCTGTTCAAAACCTGTCTCTCTTTGCCTTGCCTCATGAGTACCTTGAATTCCAGTAAAAGCAAAAAAAAAAAAAAACTCTATGAAAGTTCGAGTGAATTTGATGAAATTATTAATGATGAAACGTATTTTTAATTTATAGGCGAAGATCTTCATGCCTACGCCACCCGGAGCCAGAAAGGTCGTCCTAGCAACGAACATCGCAGAGACTTCGCTAACGATCGACAACATCGTCTATGTCGTGGATCCCGGGTTTTCAAAACAAAACTCGTACAATTCGAGAACTGGTATGGATTCGTTGGTGGTTGTGCCAATTTCTCGTGCGTCTGCGGAGCAACGCGCGGGAAGAGCTGGTCGAGTCGCCCCGGGAAAATGCTTCAGGCTTTACACTGCGTGGGCTTACGCTCACGATCTGGAAGCGAATACTGTTCCCGAAATACAGCGAGTGAATCTGGGGAATGTCGTGCTGAGTTTGAAATCATTGGGCATTCACGATTTGATGAAATTCGATTTTTTGGATCGTCCACCGCAAGAAGCTTTGGTGAGTTATGATGCGTTTATTTATTTTTCAATTTCAGCTCGGAAGACCGTAACCACGATTATTTTTGAGAAATTGCCAGATGTACTGTATTTGTTTTACGAGCGCTTAGGCCTCGAAGTTCCCCTTCCAAGAGTGTCGTGAACAATTCAGGCGCTGCCTGCAATGGACTTCACTCGGGGTATTTGCGTATGGGCTGCATCGTAGTCTCATTTGAATAATGTGCCGTAACGGGTCGAAAAGAAAGGTTCTTTTTTGGAGTAGTGCAATACTCTGTTTAATGGGATGAAGGATATCTCGTAATATGCTTGAAATATGTGTGAGTTGCACACTTTCTTTCTCTCTCTAATTATCGTTCTTTAACCCTGTAATTATGTTCTTTCTCTTTATTTCTCACTCTTTCTCTCTTCATTTCTCGCCCTTTCTCCCTCTTTTTCTCGCTTTTTCTCTCTCCGTATCTCACTCTTCTCTCTATATTTGTCGATATTTCTCTAGCTACGCTTCCCGCGCTTTGTCTCTCTCTCACGCTTTGAAAAATTCCGGTATTTCCCGGGGAACGCGTGTTTTTCGCTAAGAAAAAATCGCCAAAAATCTTGATGCGGCGTATACTCGCGTTAAAATACATTTCGATTTCTATTGTATAATTCTATGGTACGCGTCGCTGAAAAGGGAGGCGTTATCGTGGAAGCAGCTCATTGGGACAAATTTCAGGAAAAAAATCACGATCTTTGGTGAATGCTTTGTTTTTCAAATAATCTTTGAAGGGATTGAAAGAAACTTAATGCTGATGCCACCAACCCTTTGATTTGAGTTTCTTTTATGGTAGTTGATAAGAGGAACATACTAAAAAAAATTAATCCTGCAGAATTTCCGCTTTTTTCTTTCTTGGGAGCTTTTAGAAATTCTGTACTGTTTTTTGAATTGAGCCGCAAAATTTCGCGCCGAAAAATTTAATTTGCAATTTTGCAATTTCATCGCGAATGCAGTAGCTTAAATTGACTGTGAAACGACGTGATTCTTTCTGTAGATCGTTGCTCTCGAGCAACTTTATGCCCTCGGAGCGCTAAACCACAAGGGTGAGCTCACATTGCTCGGTCGGAAAATGGCCGAGTTTCCCGTTGATCCCATGATGGGGAAAATGCTGATCGCCTCCGAAAAGTACAAGTGTTCAGAAGAAGTTTTGTCCATATCCGCGATGCTTTCCGTGAACGCAGCCGTGTTCTACCGACCTCGGGACAAGCTGTTGCACGCGGACGCCGCGCGCAAAAATTTCTTCTCCATGGGCGGCGATCATCTCACGCTGCTTCAAGTGTACACCCAGTGGGCGGAATCGGATTTTTCCCCGCAATGGTGTTACGAAAATTTCATCCAGCACCGGTCTATGAAAAGAGCTCGGGATGTTCGAGACCAACTGGAATCGTTGATGTCGCGGGCAGAAATCAAGATGATGTCGTCTGGTGGAGACAATATCGCTATTCGCAAGGTTAGTCGATGATTTTTTTCTTGAGAGTCTTCATGGGATTGGGACTGAACCCGAAAAGTTAGTTATTGTGTTCCACACCTTCTACGCCCAGAGAAAGACATACTGGTGCGTCTAATTACTTCATCGTTCAGCCAATTGAAGAAATCGCAGAATTAAAATCAAATGTCAAGCCACTGAAAAAAAAAATGATTGTAATGTGTAAAAGTTAACCTTGGCGAATGAGCAAATGACTGAGAAAAATTGTGGAAATTGTAGAAGAACACCTTGTTATTGCCCCTTACCATTTTTCTTCTTTTTATTTGCCACAAGAAAATTGATCATTCAGAATTTTTATATTTTCATCGGTGGTCCGAAAAAATATATTCTCGACAAAAGCAAAATTTATATTTATTAACTCTTGTGGGACTTTTTCAACCTTTTGTGAATTAAGTGAGGAACTCTGGCCGTAACCGAGAAGTTTTCACTTTTCATGATGCTGTGTATTGCAGAAAGGTTTTACAGATCTGAAAAATAGCAAATTCTTGGAACATCTTCATGGAATTTTTTCTACATGATAAATAGACAACTGCGCGCATCAAAGGGACAATCGCGTATTTTGTACTTTCGTGCTGGAACTTGCTTGCATATTAATTATTAAAAATGTTTGATTTTTTAAACTGCGGGATTTCAATTAAAATTAGGATCCTACCTTAACTGTCCATGAATTCCCGTGTCTTGCTTTGCAATCATTTAGACAAATCCTTGAAATTTTCCGATTTTTAAAGAGATTTTTGCTGCCTCGTTCGCGCGAAAAAAAAAAATGCAGAAAAAATCGTAAGCAAGTTTTCTCCAACATAATGAAATCAGATGACTCTTGCTGCGCTGCTTCTTCTTCAAGAAGAGATCTGACAAGTTTTCAAGGTCATGACGAATTATTTCCAGGCCATCACAGCGGGTTATTTCTACCACAGCGCCAAACTCGACAAAGGCGGAAACTACAAAACCACGAAACACAATCATACGGTTATGATCCATCCGCAGTCGGCGTTATTCGAAGATGTGCCTCGTTGGGTAGTTTACCATCAACTCATGTTCACCACAAAGGAGTACATGAGAGAGGTGATTGAAATCGAAAGCAAATGGCTCCTTGAAGTTGCCCCGCATTACTACAAGCCCAAGGATGTCGAGGACTCGACGAATAAGAAAATGCCCAAGCAACTGGGCAAAACAAAAGCAGAACTTGCTGGTGTTGTCGGTTGACTTTGTTGTTCAAGTTGAAGAGATGTTTTTCCAATAATTTGAAAATGATTTTCAAGAAAATATAATTCTGTGATGATTCTCACGCTTGAAATGGTATTGATCTTTTTTTCTGTTGTCTTGAAATGTTGACCTTGAATGATGATCAGGTCGATTTTTTTTCTTTACTCTTCCCAGGGGAATTTTGTTTTTGAAGATGCAGTATGAAACTTTGGATGAACTAATGGCGGGCAAGAAGCTGTCGTTTATTAACGGGGAGATTAATTCAATGAATGTGGAACAGTTGAGAGTGTTGCTGAGTTCGGTCGGGATGGACCCGAATGGTCCTCGATCCGTGCTCCAAAAACGGTTGAAAGATCGCGTCCGTCTCCTGCATTTCGGATACGACAAATTCTCAGTCTACGACCCAACCAAAGTCCATGTGTTCTACGACTGCTTGGTCGTCGTCGACTTCGAATGTACTTGTGTGGAAAACGAGTTTTCAAACCCGAAAGCGATTTGGTCGACCGATTACAAGTAAGTGCGATTTTTGAATTTTTATGTCTCCGCTTTTGCGTTCGATGTTGAAAATTAATAAAAAAAATACGTTCCTTGGTATATTGCCTATGGTTGAATTTTTGAATCTAAAATTGTTTAAAAACGAGGGATTAAATGTTTTAAATGATGATGTGAAGCAAAGAAGTTTTTGTGATTAAATCACTTGATTGTTGATTGCAGTCCTGAACTGATTTTCTGTAGTTTGGATATGAGTCACTGGAAGTTACTTCCTAATTTTACACTCGGTCTTCTCAATTTCCATGTGCTTCATTATTATTATGGCGTGCGCATGAGCATTTTTACAGGAGTTCAAGAAGGTTGATTTTAATCTGGGGAGGATATTCTTGAAAACAATGAGAGCCGCTTAATCCGGCTTTTGTCTTGTTTCAAGTAATGGTTTCCGAACTTCACAAATTAATCTCCGTGTTCTTACTTTTGAGAAAATGTCATGCAAGATTTGGATCAAACTGGAGATGCTGAATTCTCCACTGAACAGAAACTTCCCGAACACCCGAGATTAATCGAAAAGTTCGCTTGGTTATTGAGAAGTTATTTTTCGATTGCCTGTATTTATGGTACCCGTATTTACCCGGGTACCGTGCGCCCTCGAGTAAGACGCGCACCATGGTTTTTCAGACAAGAATTTTGGTGAAATTCTATCCCAGAGTTAGGTGCGCACCCCATTTCTTTTGACTTCTAACACCACAATATTTCAAAGATAAAAGCACCTACATTTTCATTTAGACATTAATTGACATTAACTTGACCGTTTTTCGATTATTTTCATTAATATGAGTTTTTCTGTTGAACTTTGACTGAAATTTTCCCTTAGAAGCAAGCATAAGATGCATCGAAATTCTAAGAAATTTGAAAAATGTGTACCCACATATGGCGCGCACCTCCTTTTTTCCTTTCAAATTAAAAAAAAAAAAGTGCGCGTGGTACTCGAATAAATACGGTACGGTAATTCATTCCCAGAAAATCTTCAGGGAAGTTTGGTGTGCGAAAGACAGCGTCAAACATTTTATTCACCTGGTTTCCCGCATTTGAGAATGTTCCGAAGTTTCAATTTTTTCCCATAGGTATGAAATCATAGAATTTCCTGCGATTTTGGTGGATTGCGCCACGCTGACAGTAACGTCCGAATTCCACGAATTCGTTCGTCCTTCTTTGAACCCGGTGCTTTCTGAATATTGTGTCGAGTTGCTCGGCATCAAGCAGGACCAGGTTGATCGTGCTCGGTCTTTCCCCGACGTGTTGACCGATTTCAATGCGTGGCTCAGTGAGAAAACACGAGGCAAGAAGTTTGCTCTGGTGTCCGACGGGCCCACAGATTTTGGAAAGTTTTTCTTCCAGAACTGTCGCATTCACGACCTACCTGTACCAAAATTTGCCAAGAGCTGGGTGAATGTGAAGAAAATTTTTGGGAACCATTACGATGTGAGACAAGTGAGTTGAAGTTGATTTTTTGTTAGCAGCACAGGTTGGCAATTTTTTCGATTAAATACTATGAGAGGTCTTTCGGAAAAACATTTTATGACTCGAAGAAAATTATTATTATTTCGTTAAAGAACGTATTGTGAAACTTTTTGTAAATTTTCAAGTGGCTCTTTTCAGCCAGCTCATTGATCATTTCGCAAGGGTCTTCCAAATCGTTTACGAGTCAGAATTTTCATTGTTGTCTTGGTTTACACGTGAAATTTCTTGTACAGTATGTTCTTTGTTTTATCTCTTTCAGCGGCGGTTAGCTGACATGCTTTATCATTTGGGATTGCCCTTTATAGGCAGACTTCATTCTGGCATCGACGATGCGAGAAACATAGCTCGTATTACGATTCAACTTTTGCGAGATGGAGTGTTGATTTACCCTAATGAACGATTGGTGATAGACCGTAATCGCTCGGTCGACGCTCATATAACTTTCATTTCGAGGTAAGTCGCACTTTTCGGTGACTAGTTGGCATTTGAGTAAATCGAATTATCTTCAGCTGCGATCAGTTATAAATAAAAATATGTTTTTCTGCGAGTCCACAAGTTACAATGCTGTGGGAAACAACATCAGATGTTATAAATATAAATGAAGCATTCGCAGGAGTCCTTCAACATTGGGGGGGGTGAATATTCCGATAAGCTTCAGAGAATTGCTGGAAGGAAGAAGGTGACCAACAAAGGGGATTTTCATCATTTTAGAATTTAGAATTTTTATTCCGCCCGGAATCCAAGCGATCCTCTTGTGCTGAGCGCGGGAAGAACCCAGGAGCAGATATTAATTGATATGAAGGCGTGAGATTAAATTTTTGTCAAAATAGCCGAAGGCATGTACCCTTTATTTTATCAAGTCCTTCGTGTAATCGGCAACCTTAAAAACTAATGTGTTCACAAAATTCTCGCTCAACAAGGATACGGTGTTATGATTTTTTGGTTAAATTTCAGTTTTTTCAATCTCACAGTTCGAGTATGTTAGAAGAAGAAGAAGAATCAGCTGATGTGATCCTCGATGTGATCCGAATAAAACGAGAACTGGCAATAGAAGCTTCCACGTGAAAACATTTCTTCGGTTCGTGAAGTTTTCACAGAAAGCATCCAGTTTGTCGTGTGACGTCTCCACCGCCGTTTTGACAAATGTCATTTTTTTTGCAATCCGCAGAGAGGAGTTTCTCAAGTCTGATCGAAAAGTGAGAACAACCGTGGAAAGATCCCCAACTTTGAACCGCGGAAAAGAATTACCTTGTCCTGAGGTCTCGGAAAGTGAACCGCAAACCAGTGAAGATGCTTTCAACGTTGTGCTGAAGCCGCGAAACAGAGCCGTTCGTTCACTTGCTGCGAACTTTTGATGCGCAATCGCGTTGATGATACCCTTTAGCAGCATAACTGTGTACTTTCTTGCATTGAGTGGATTTCGATCATGTTCGTAAGTTAACTTTCATATATTTTGTGATACTGTAGCTCCATTTTGATGACGTTTTTGGAAATTATATTGTGCTTGACGACTTTTAAATTCATTTTCATGGGCGATTCGTCGTCGAATGCCCATTCTGAGTAATTTTTTCTTTGTCTTTCCTTGACTAAGGGTTGAAGTTGTCTCGATAATCAAAAGCTACTCTTGATTAATGAATGTCGGAAACGCTTCGAGCAGAATTTCATGCATGATGTTTGGTTTCGGACAGTTTTCTTGTTTACCTCATGAGTGTCTTTAAACGATAGTGGTTGACCTAATCTTATGCAGTAATATTGGATAATTACATGACCATTCCTCCAATGTGTACTCTCTGTGGTGGAAGTGGAGAGAACACAAACACTTACGCATATTTTCATGAATTTTCAAGCAGTGTAAATGCTGCCGAACATTTTAATATATTGACAATATTTGTGATAATATCCCATTTCTGACGAACGAAGTTTCTGTGAAAACAAGTATCTGATTTTTTCGATTCAGAGGTGCTCTGTGAAAACGTTGCCTTAAAATTATGATTTTTTGGCCAGAAGTTGTCTCTCTCGGGACCACTATTGAAAAATTAGCATGAGTAGTTTTTTAAAAACTTTTTTGGCAGACTTCGTTTGAGAGACTAAGGTACCCGAAAAGCATTGCAATATTGTACGTTGAAGGTACATTACTGACATGTCGAGCCACCCTTGGAGTTTGTGTCAGCTCGTTCAGAGTAATTTTTTCGAACTAAGTTTGTTCAACTTGTGTTGAATTCATGGTCAGGCGCGAAACTTGGTTCAACTCTCTCTTTTTCATATTTTCAAAATTATCTTAAACCCTGTATTGCAAATGTTTTCATTTGATTTGAATTCTTCGTCTACCTCGTGTTCATGCGTAGTCCTAATTTCGGCGTGTGATCAGTTCTTCTCCTCGTGCCAAGTGATGTGAGTGTTCAAGAGGGCAATTTAGTTTCAAAACCGCGATATGACGAGTGAGACGGTCAGTGACGCCGAGTGGGGCGAAATGCTGCTGGGGCAATACTTCAAGATGCTCAGTGGGTTCGCGCAAGACCAGGCCAAGGATATCGTCGACAGAGAAAAGACGATTCAATCCCAGAATGTCGCCAACCCACAGCATCATCAGTCGGCTTTGGATTCTGCGAATTCCTCGGCTCGAGCGACGCTCTTGGGCATCCTAGGTCAACTCGCTTTGGCAGAGAAGACGTATCACAGCATGTGCTTTTTTGTCGCCAAGGGATTCCTCAGGAAGGATTCTTCGCTGAGAAGCTCGTACGAGGGGATCGTGTCGGAGTTGTTGGTGCTGAAAGAGGGGGCCAAGGGATCTGCGAACCGCGGCACGCCTGCTCATCTCCTGGGCCATATCAGCGAACAGGTTTGATATAATCTTTTCTTCCTTTTTCAGAATTGAAGTGCGTCTACAACAGAGTTCCCAAACCCTTTTGGTCCCCCGGACCGGCAAATTTCCATTATTATTATTGTTTTGCGGACTAACGAAGTTCAATAAAAATGTTCCAAGACCATTAGAAAACTTTTGAATAGTGTACCTGCTATAAATTCCTGCAACCGAAATACTCGAAGTGTGTCCCAATTCTGATTCATTGGAAGGGAGCCAAGCGGCCTTTGTACTTCGTATACAGTACTGCACAGTATTTTCAAATGATCGGCGAATAATTGTGCCCAATGCTTTCGGAAATCAATGTTGATTATACAGTCAAATCTCGAGAAGCCGCCACAATTTGTGATGTTTTCTGCGATTTAGCGGGGTTGGTGGTTCATCAAAAAACAAAATGCTGTAATATGAAATCAAATTATCGGGGTTTCGATGAAAAAAACGAATCAACAGAAGCGTATTCGAGTTGTCAATAATTTAGGCGGATGGCGGTTGGCGTTCCAATGGGGCTTTCAATGTTTTCATTATTTCGGAAGTTCACGTCTGCTGGAAACAAGCTTAAGAAATAACGGAATCTTTAATTTTGCATCGAAATCATGAGGGTAAGCAAGATGTATAATAATTAATAAATATGTTGAAACGAGTCAACATAACGAGGCCTCTGGTGTAAAATCATTGAAAATGGATGCCGTTTTAAAAATTGTGCTGGTATATTATTTATTTTTGGTACGGGAACGTCTGGAAGAGAATGACGCTTCATGTATACCCGATTGTGTCATTCTGCAAACTGCTAAAATGCTCAAAATTTATGTGCAACTATGAAATTTAACTGTTCGCAAAAACATAATTTTTGCCTGAATTCTGATTTTCTGCAAGCATGATTTAAATATCGATCACAAACCTCCCAGTGCTACATTACATTAAAAACTTCGCTTCACGATAGGTATTGCAATACGTCTTCGCGCGGATGGAAATGGTCAACTTCTATGAACACCTGGGTTCGTCTCGACCTGACACGCAGCTAGTCCCTTGGTCTCAGTTTCTCGAGGACCTCCGCACAATTTGCGACAAGAATCACCGACTGTTCCATCACCCCATGTTGGCTCATGTCAAATCTGCATTTGATTTCGAGACCGAGGCTATGTTGCACATGATTGAGGCGCAAGTTCATTTGGAAGATTATCAGTTTTTGGCTTCCTTGCTGAGTTTGAATGAAGCCCACGCCAAACTCAACTCTTGGGAGTCTTTGGCGCATGCATGTGACGAATTCAGGAACTCGGGAAAAATAGGACTGTCCGCTGTCATTTCTTTGTCTGGGAGGTACGATTTGTTTATAGATATTAATAGAAAGTAGTACAGTATGCTGATTTTCAATCGCCAGTATCTCCGGAACTGTTGAAGAAACCCAATAGAAAAAATGAAAAACCCTCAGAAGACGTAAAGTCTCAATTTTTATTTACAGTAATTCAATTGCAAAATCTAGCGAAAATAAAACACAACGCGCCCTGTGGAGACTATCGTCGTACTGTATAGTGTAGTTCATCCGTTCGAAAAATTCCGGGAATTATTTGAAGGTTTCTAATTCCCAGGTTTATGTATAGTTAAATCTCGATAAGTCGAATAGCTCCCGATCTCGAATTTTTGCTAGTCCTTCTCTGCAATCTCTTAAAAACAACGCATTAAAAACTTCCCTAATTCGAAGGCTTTTCCCCTCAAGCCTTCATAACTCGATTTTTCTGGAAACCTTTTGGCTATTATTTATTCACGCAGGAAAGAAAAAAGCAATAAAAAATGTCACTTGATGCGTTTTGAAGGGAAGTGAAAGACTGATTGGGCAAATGAGCCCTTGCATCCAAGTTCAGCATCCTGTCAGTTCATTCAGGAAGCAATTTAATGCCCAAAATATCACCAATTACAATTTCCTGTGAATCTTTCTTTCCCCAACTAGAAATTTTCTTATGGTCTCTTGAAGTTCGACTTATAAATGTTTGAGTGTAGTTATTGAGTTCAATTCTTCGTTTTTCTGGACTTTTTCTTTCTTTCCCACTCTTGCTCCAAGCTTCTTCGTGAATTTCCCTGCCATCAGTTTTTTTTTTCACGTAGGATTTTTAAACTTTTCATTTTCACTACTGTATATCTTCATTTTCCCGCATATTTTAGGACGCCTCCCGAACGAGCTTTGCTCAGATGGCATACGGCTTTCAAAGCGTCGCTGGTCTCCAAATTTTCTTTCTACTTCTACGAAAATCTAACCGCGCAAGGAGGGTATCACGTAGATCGAATGAAGACGCTGTTCGCGAGACTTTCTTGCGATTATTATCAGAAAGTAGCTGCCTTCCACCGACGCGGTGATGCGCCGTGGATTCTTCTAGCTTTTGACGCTGGTGGAATGCCCGTCCATTATGGATACCGATTCCCGTTGCGGTATCCAGTTAGTGTGCAAGGACTCGAAAGTTTTCCTGCGATTTTAATATACCCGCCTGGCATGTGAGTGTTTTTCACTTCTATTTTGTTCCTTTCTTTCGAACACGTGTGGTTGGACGAACGAAAAACAGCGTTGCTGAAACACGTTTCAATGTCGGTTTAGGTATTTTTATTTATTTATTCATTCGTTCCGTTTTCTATGAGCCCGCCTTTTCTGATGAATTTCCGCGAATTCGAAGAGACTGTCTGTCCGTCTTTTAGTTTTACTGCGGAATGAAGTATACCTTGTGGAGATGATTTAAAATCATCGTTTCTTCCTCTTTTGTTCTCAGTACAGTACTGCTTTCTCGTGATGCGAAAAGTACTGGATTCTTTTTAAAAAATCATGGGAAAATTCTTTAGACCCCAAGTTTGCATTTCAGTTTAACAAAACCTTGAAAAATTGGGTCGGGTATCTTTGTGGAAATATCCATTTGAAGGCACATCCGATCAAAAATCTCTTCTTTAAGCTCATCTTATTTTGCGCATTGCTGATTCGCCTACTGTACTTCGATGTGACGTGAAGTGAGTCATTATTTACTACTAAATCATCCAGAAGTGATCTCACCGACTCTGGCCAAAATAAGAATTATAATAATAATCCTGGCTGCAATGCTGCATCCCAAAAACTGGTTCTTTCCTTTTGTTGAAGATGTTTGTCGTTTATTCTGGGTTTGTGTCATGCCTTCACGAGTCGGTGGTTTTCATTTCTGTTTGCGTGAACGATGCCAAAATTCTGAAAAGTTTCATGAGGATATATTTTTGCCAGTTTTTGGAACTTTTTAGCGGTGCAGTATGACTTGCTTGTTTATCCGTGTACAGTACAGTTTTTTCCTCGGTGAATTTACCAAATGTTTTGTGGCCCGAAAATTTCCTTGAAAAAGCTGCAAGAAATCCGGGTGCGGCTGAGGGCTCCACAACAGTAGGTCCCCGACGAGAAGGGACCCGGCTGGGGAAGAATTAGTGAAGGGGCCCGTGGCAGGATGTCCCCGGGGAACAGGCGGGCCAACGGGACCAATGGATGAGGGAGTGATGGTTACTTTCATTTTATATGTGTTTTAACAGCTTTCATTTACAGCCGGCAAAGCATCATTTTAGACAGAGATGGGTGTTTTTTTTATGAAGGTTAAATGCTGTATGTTATTGTCGAAGTTTTCAAAAACAACATTGTATGAGGCACGCAATATTCTAACCAGTATTTCCGAGGAACGAGATATTTTTAACCAGTATTTCCAAGGAGCGAAATATTTCTTACCAATATTTCGAAGGAATGAAATATTTCTAGCCAATATTTTAAAGAAATTAAATATTTTCATCAATATTTATAAATGCGCTGACTGACCTTCACTCCTTCACTTGTTGATCACGCAGTCCTGCTTCCCCGTGAGGTAGATTTGTCTTGGGTTCCTTTTCTACCCTATCCCCAAAACCTCTTCTCATAGGTCCCTTTACATTGGAGACTTATCTTCCGGGAGCGGAGGCGGCTTACATATGTGTAAATTTTCATTTTCGCTCTCTCATCAATATTGCTTCAATTCTTCTGGATTTTTTTTTTCGTGACCCTCAAATGAAAGAAGAAAGCCAAGAAAGAATAGATTTTTCAATGGAAGAGGAAAATTCGCGTAGATTCCTGCCAATGGTTTTTTACTCTTGAAAATCTCGTTACAACGAAGCCATTGGGACCAATGCAATAGCTTCGTTGAAACGAAAAATTCCTCATGGAGTAACTCATTCAACAGTGGGGATAATGGGCAAAACACAACTTAATTGTAAGCGATTGTTCGTTATGTCGAGATTGTACTTAGTACAAGTACTGTAATTCCTTCGGTCGATGTGTGACTAACCTGTATGATTAACCGCAGGCCCTTGGCACCCGCTCACTGGCCGTCGATCGTGATGCTGCTCTCTGACCCTGTGAAGTCAGCTGAGGCGAAAGAGAGACCTGTGATGTTTTACGACGAACGAATGGAATCCTCGTACTACTTTATGCGGGTCGAGCCAAAAATAACGCTTTTCGTGCTGTTCCAGAGACGTAAGATTGGCCGTGACAGCGCTGTTGTTACGTTCATGAACGACATGGTGTTCGGATTACGTGCATCGAAACTCATTGTCACATTGTGCCCGAGATCCAAATGACGATTGTAATGACTTGATTTTATTTTTGTGACGAAAAACTCAATTTATCAGTGGGTACGATGAAAAAAGCCGTGGGCTACTCTTTCCGCGGTGTCATGAATGGGAGAGTTTCGATCCTCTCGTTGTGTGACGTGTGATTCCATTTGAACTGACGTGTGATAATTTACTGCCTTTTTCTGGGGATAAGAGCTTGCTTCCAAGAGTGTGTTTTTGTTACTCGGTTCATTCTTGACGCGTCTGAAAATAACACGTGAAGAAGGATAATTCTCACTGAATCTTTTCCGTCGGTCTTGCAGGTTTTAGGCAGTTTCGGGTACTTATTTACCAGTGTAACAGCGCGACGTATTTCGGAATTCCATGGCTTGAAGCGATTTCTCCAACGAAAATTTCTTCAATGAATCTGTGAACTTTATATTTATCGAGTGATGCTCGATATAATTCAGAAATATTGAGCAAAGGCTTTATTCTCTGTGAAACCCTTTGTTACCGAAATAAGTCAAGCGCCAAGGATTTAGAATTTTGTCGGAATAATAGCAGTGGAGTGAATTAATATCCGAAAAGGAAAACCTACCGGATTAAAATGAGTGATCGCATGAACCAAGTTATTCAGTTATGGAAAGAATTCAATCTGAGTCAGTACCAAAGGAATCTGGACAAAACTGCGTCCGAAATTGCCGACAGACAAGACGCTTCCGAGTCTTCGCGGAAGAAGCTCGTGGAACTGAGTAAAACTTTCCGGAAGGAGTCGAGTGAAGATGTTCGCAAGGCCGTTGCGGACGTTCTCAAAAATTTCCAGCTGGAGGTGGACAGCTTGTCTCAGCGAAGCAAAGCTGCGGAAGTGGCGTTTTTGAACGTTTACAAAAAGTTGCTGGATTTACCGGACCCTGCCCCAACTTTTGCGCAATTGCCCGCATTGCAGGAGCGTGCAGCGAAAATTGTCGAGTTGGAAACTGAGAACGAACGACTGAAAGCCAAAAATAAGGAATATGAAGCTGAATTTCAGGTTTTTATTGTTTGATTTTTCGTATCGAGCTGTAGACGAGTGCAATTGATGAATAAGAGTGTAGGATTGTGGGAATATACGTGAGTTTTCAGTGAAAAATAGCCGTTCCACCCCCACCTGCCCTACCCCCTCGCAGGAACCTTTTATTCTTTGCCTTGTGGGGACAACTATCGTCCGGTTTAAGCAACCTCAATATGAATAAAGCCAATAAGCTTAATGCTTTTTTTCAAAGATGAAATTGTTCGAAGTTGGTTGACTTACTTCACGTTATGTTGTTTGAATTTTGTTTAGTGTAGGTTTGACTTTTAATTTTTGCTTAGTTCATGTTTGGTTCTTTTATTTTGTGTTACTTCACGTTTTTATTCTACTTTTGGTTATTTCAGGTTTATTTTATTTTTGATTACGTTAGGTTTGGTCATTATTTTTTTGGTTGGGTTAGGTAGGATTACCTTAGTTTAGCAGCACCTGTTAGTTCAGTGTAGATTAGTTCAGTTTTTAGTGTAGGTTAGTATAGGTTAATTTAGTTTTATTTTTATTTTTCAAAATTTTCTCATATGAACTTATGCTAAAAAATTATTCAAAAAATAAGTTTACATGTCCATGAAAATTTCAGGATGAAAGTCGAAAATATTCAGGTTGAGGGGAGCGCGGAGGTTGTGGCTCATGTGAACGGATTATTGCTGGAAATATCCCAAACAGCCTAGCACAGTGCTGTGTTTGATGACTGTGTGAGATTAATCCCTTCTGAATAGTGTTATGAAAGGGACTAGGTTGAAATCTTCTCCCTACAATACCCAAGCATGTTTTCTTTTATTTCGAGCAGGTTTCGCTTGAAAAAGGGGAATATTAATTTCCCAAAAAATAACCTGAAAGAACAGAATCAAACCTAAATGAAGTGAGCAGGCGTATTTCCAAACCGAACTTCTACCTGAAAACGGAGAACTGTTGTCTTGCAGTCCTCAATCTTCACTTTGTTCGAAAACTTGTGGAGTTGTGTATTACAAAGTGAATGACTCCAGCAGGAAACCAGGAAAACAGTAGATGATTTATCTTTCCAACAGCAGCATAAACAGTTTCAGAGTAAAAGGGCTAAAATCAGGGGTCTTCAAAATGCCCCTTCTCGTACAGGCTCAAAAATCGTTCCGCAAAATTCGCACCACATTCTTTCCTTTTTTGTCTCTTCCTGACGCAACTACATATTTAAAAAAAACAAGAACAGGAACAAGAATTTCGCCACGCGCGAGCGCCGCATTTTTCCGATTCCTCTCAGGCTTAGAAAATTTCCGGTCCCCAAGAAAAATTGCGCAGGAGACTTCTGTCCCCTCAGCAGCATCCCTTCCCGTTCTCCTTGACCAAAACCTGCTGTAAAAGAAGAAGGCAAGAAAAGGAAAGCACAAGAACACAAACCTGGAGACACAAAATTCAAAACTTAATATCCCTCCAGGAATACATGCATTTTCTTCCACATCTACCTAGCTAAGAAAAACGAAATTACTTTGACATTGATATAAATTCATAGGAATATCCTAGAATCGAAGGCAAAAGCAGAAGAAAAAGATTGTGAACTCCTCATCAATTATTTACATGAATAAACTCTTCTCGATGTAATCCTTGCCCCAAATAACTTGATAGACTGTAAACTAATCCAACCCAACCCAATTAGACATAACCTAATATAACAAATCCCAACCGAGCGTAAATCGAACTACTGTAGGTGGAATCCATTTCAGATGACACTCGCGCGAAGAAAATTTCGCAGGGGTTTTTCGAAGATCAGAGAGATATTCCAGATGTGCTCATCTGTCAAAACATATTTTTTTACTTCGAAATCTTTTCATCTTGCTTTTACTGTAGTTATGATAACATTTTTTAACGGCTTCGTCTCATTTTTCAGTTCTAGTTTTGCCAAATTTACGATCAATTCAGGCGGTTCTCAAGCGTGAGCTTTTTCACACAGGATTTACGAAATCAGGAAGTCACGGTCAAGCAACTTCGCGAACGCGTCAAGTCTCTGGAGACTGAGATGGAATCCTCTATCCAGTCCCACGGCGAAGAAGCTCGCAAGCGTATCGAAGAAGAATTCGAAGACCGTGAGCAGTCCATGAAGGAAAATCTGGCCGTTTTGTCCAAGCGCCTGAGTGAGTCTGAACGACGCGTTCTCCAACTGCAGAAAGCTTTAGATGCGTCCCAGTCGGAAGTTTTCGAAGCCAGAACATTCGACGAAGTCAAGTCCCAGGCCAAGTCTGAAGAGGTTGACATAATCCTGTGTGACTTGGAAAAGGCGACTTTGCGAGCAGTGGCTGCAGAGAAAACGTGCGAAGAGCTACGAGCTGTTATAGACGAAATTAATCGTCCGGGTGACGAAGCTGCCGCTCGGGACATTCATGAACTCGGCAAGACTGTAAAGAGTTTGCAGATCGAGTTGTCTGCCAAGGACAAAGATCTAGAACGTCTCGTCGAAGAAATAGCCAAACTGAAGACCTTTTCGGAATCGGAAAACGATCGCCTGACAACTGAACTCCAACGAGCGCTTCTGGACCTCCAAGAATCCAAGACTGCGCTCAAGGACGCGCAGAATCTTCTGGAAGACCGAGAAGATTACGAAGACCTAAAGAAAGAGGTGCAAACGTTTAGATCAGTAGAATTCGGAGCGGATTACGAAGCTGAAGGGGGAAAAGTCCCGAAAAAGCCGCTGGAAGTATTGCTAATGGAAAAGAATAAGCGACTGCAAGCCACTTTAACTTCGATAAAGGGAAAGTATGCGGAACTGACTGCAAGAGCCCATGAAGTCGAAGTTGAAAATCAACGCCTGGGACAGTTGACCAAAAATCAGCGAGATCTTGTCACCAAATTGGAACAAGTGAGGAATTTCTCTAAATCCCGAGTGCTTTTTAAAATGAAGTTTTGCCTGTGGAATTGAAAATCTTGGACAAATTTTTTCCAGATCAGCTTCGTGAATGTTCAGGAAGGAGGATATTTTGTGAAGTACATTTTAATTCCGTTTCGACGAATCTTGTTCTGGTGAATTTTTAATTATAACGGTTTTTGTGGTCACAGCAGTTTTTCCATTGGAACCATTTTATAATAATCTTGTTTTAACGAACACACTTTTAGCTGAAATCTGATTATAACGAACATTTTGCCCTGTTTCTACGAATGATCCAAATGGATTATTGCATCATATGAGGAAAAGGAGAAAAATGTAACCTCTGCATCATCGAATTTTGATAAGAAAATTTATAAAAAGTTGAAACTTTTAAAGGAAGATCTAGGCTATTACAACATTCCAAAAATTACGATGCTTGTTCTCAGAATTTATTTAGGCACATTTAAGAATTTTTAAATGGCTTTTGTTTCAGTTGAATAATACATTATATCAAGAAAAATGTTCCTTTTATTCGAAGAACAAGGGTGTGCATCAATAAATTATTTTGGAAGGAAGCTCTGTACTTCCTATACCTGATTTTTTATCATTTTTTTTTAAGAACAGCACATTATAGTATTGTGCGATTTGAAGCAAGATAGGCTCAAAATAAGGGAATTTAATTCGACAATTTTTCATTTTAATTTCATTAACTTGAATTAGAACAATAGTCTTTGATATTTATGCTGCAGAAGCACTCAACGATTTTTTTTTACTCAGATCCTTCAAATTTATTTCATGAATGTTTTTAAACCCGTTAATTTTTCGTCGCAGCAAATTTTTTTTCGGTCCCTGGGAGTTCGTTGTAACGATATTTTTACTGTAGCACTGAGGATTTATCCAAAGCCGGGTCAACTACCGGTATTTGTGAGATGAACTAGATATTAACTGTTTTGTTTGCCTGAGGTATTTGTGCGAAAAATTCCTTTCGCGAGGCTGGCGTTTCCTGGCTTACCACTGTACAATATTTGATTTTTGTTTCCACTTCGTTTCTACTTTCTAGGACCTTGCAAACGTGCAGAACGTGTCGCTGCTTTGCCGCGGGGAAGGCGAAGGTCAGCCATCTTCGGAATGGGTCCTCGAAGCAGTCAGCGACCTGGGAACTTCCCCGGAACCCTCGAGATCCTCAACGTCCCCCTATGGTATGCTGGACCCGGGTGCTGCAGCTGAAAACATACTTCCAATCATTTCAGCACAACGCGAACGATTCCGCGAACGCAACCTCGAACTGGAAGCTCGCAACTCCCAACTTCTAGAACAGATGACGCTGCTTCAAACGGAACTCGAATCCTTGCGAGGAGACAACTTGAAACTTTACGAGAAGATTCGATTTTTGCAAAGCTACTCCTCGTCTTCTTCTTCGTCGCAGTCTGTCGTGATCAACACAGCTGCTGAAGACCGATGGGCGTCTCAGTATGAGGCCAAGTTGGATCCGTTCTCGTCGTTTTCTAAAAAGGAACAAATGCGGAAGTACGCCGGATTGTCGCCGTATGAGAAATTCACGCTCAGCATGGGACGAGCAATCTTGTCAAACAAAACGGCGAGACTAATGACGCTGTTCTACACTTTTTTGCTTCACGGGTTGGTGGTGTTGGTGTTGTACAAGTTGGCGTACACTGAGGATTGCAAGCAAGAAGCAGCGGCCGATTGTGTAAAAAGATTCGCGGAACATATGGCTCAGGTGCATTCTGAACATTGAACCCACATTTGCTGAACATTTTGATTTATTTCTGTTTTTTTTTTTTTTTGCATTCATAACAGGTTGACGGTGATTCTTAACGTAAATTTTTAGTTTTACTCTCCAGTTTGTTTCAATGAAGAACGATATGTGCGGGCTCTTCTCATGATGCTATGAACCATTCTACTTTTCTTAAATCTTGTTTTATTATATCTCTCCTGGATCACGGTCAGTTTTCTTTGTCGTGTTTTGATTTTTCTCTATTGTCTGTTTAAATTGAAACTATTTCAAAATTCCGCGTTGGAAAATATTTGTTTCTGTCGATCAGATCCTCTTTTTGTCAACCGATTGTTTCGACTTCCAGCAAAACGTTCTACGAGGATAGTTGCTCTTCGATCGTTGAACACCCCCTTCTTTCCATTGAATTTTGCCTCAAGACTATGTTTCTGATTTGGATGGATAGAAAGATTCTGTGATCACTGCGTGTAGAAAAGGGAAGTTTTGGCGCACTTGACGTGGAAGGAATATTTAAGATATTTGGAATTGTTATTTTTGTTGAATTGCCTTTGCAAATGAAACGCGTGGAGGAAAAAAGGAATGCGGCTGTTCTTGATTTTTATTGCTGTGTGGTTTTCGTTTTGTGAAATCAGGCTTGAATAATTTTTCATCGTGGTTTTATGATTATTTTCAGATTTATCTGCTTTATCTTGATCGATGTTGAGGCTGTGTACCGTGGAGTTGTGAAACTTTTAGTCCAACATGTCTTTGGTGAGTTCTGAATCATTCGGCTTTGTTTGACTCTGTGGCATGATAAACTTTCATGACAGGATATTGTGTACAGTCGGTCGATTCCGGGTGGACTTCCTTCCGGAAGAAGAATTGTCATCCAAGGAAGAACTCGATTGTCCACCAGAAAGTGAGAATGTCCTTTTTTCGATTGTCCTGCCTAACAACAACGTTCAGTAATCTAGGCAGCAATCTTCATAAGAAAAAGTGGAAAGAAAAATATCTATCGGAAAAGCGAGAATCGGGGGAAAAAATGAAAAGCATCTACAAAGAAATTACTGAATAGCCAGTTGAAGAAAAAAAGATCTGTTTTGCGTTGAAAAGGTAGCAACAAATGCAAAAGGGAACAAAAGAGTGAGTACAGTATTGAACTTTAAGCTGCTTGCCTATTATTCTTTCCTGAAGAGAAAGTTCAATAAAAATCACAGCCAAGCATTTAATCGGCGAATACTCGCTCTTTTGTGGACCTCTATTTTTTGGCACCGGCTTATTTCATACTTGCTTTTATTTAAGGTGACTCATATTTTCAACTCCTTTTTAACCTTGAAATTCTGACGTGCTCCGTGTTTTCCCCACTTTTTTGTTTGAGGTTTACAGTAATTTTTTTCTAGCAATTCAAGAAAAAGCGGGACACACATTTTCTCTTCGGATGATTTCTGTAGTTCGTGTTGTTATTTTAACATGCATTTTATTGTTGATCATTATTTTTTATTTCTCCAGATTCGGGTTTCGTCTCACTGCAGGAACGGGGCAGGTGAGCGACGACGTTTTGCTCTTCCTAGAAATCCGATTCGATGAGCGAGCCATTGTGAAGAACTCTTACATTGGTGGTCGCTGGGGACAAGAAGAGCGAGCACATCTGGCCAGTCCTTTCCCCGACAGAAGGTTCACATTGACCGTCGTTCATGAAGCCAGTGGTTTCCAAGTAAGCGCTCAACATTGTTTTATTTTATTTAGAATTTTAAAGAATAGTTGTTGAATGTGAATTCTTCCGTGATCGAAGAGGGAAGCAGACCTCAGCATATCCTGGGTGCATTGCGTACTAAAACCTATTGCGCTTCACAAATTCAGTGACGATAGAACTTACCTGAATCGGTCTGATTACGGAGTGCCTTTTGCCCAGGCACAGTTTGAAAAAATTTTAACCACGTCAAAAATCTCTAGAATGGCCTGATTTAATCTTACTGATGGTTCAAGATCAGTAGCGTATAGGCAATAACGTTTGTCAACAGAAAATAGCTTGATTTAAAATTGCGCTGTGAGCAGGCTGCTTTGTTTCCTTCTCAATGAATGTACATTTTTGTAACTACAGAATTGTGCGACGAGAAAATCTACGTGTCAGGCTTTTTCCCGAATCGCCCGAAAAAAAAAACTTGAAACCTCAAGCAAAAAAAGGGGGGGGGGGGGGAACACGGAGCACGTCAGAATAGCAAGGTTAAAACGAGTTGAAAAATATGAAAGTCATCTTAAATAAAAGCAAGTATCAAATGAGCAGGTGTCAAAAAATAGATTAATAGTTGGATGTCCAAGATTATTGCGGTTTTACTGTGTAAAACTCAATGCAGCACTGTATTTTCTTTTTTGTTATTGTTTCGGAATATCTTTAGATTTCCCACTGAATTTCACTTGGTCGTGAAAAAATGGTTTGAATTCCATCTCGTTATTTTTGTGTAGCAGTTGATGGTCGTTCGTAATTTATTTTTCAACGTTTAAGATCCTTTTGGATGGATCCCCGATCACGGATTTCAGACACAGGACGGACCCGAATCGCGTGCAGCACCTGATTGTCGACGGTGATGTGAACGTGGACGACGTGTCCTTTGATTCGAATCACACTTCTCAGTATCCTGGGGCGCCTTATTCTGCCGGCCCAACTGCGCCTTTGTACCCGTCTGTACCCGGTGCTGTGCCGCCTGTGGGTTTCAATACTGAGCCTGCCGGATACCCGATGCCTGGAGGGCCGGGTTATCCCATGGGTGGACCTGGTTACCCTACCGGTGCTGGACCAGGGTATCCTATGTCAAGTAGTCCGAGTGAGTGATTTTATTTATCTTAATTGTAAAATATTTCTGATGCTTCCTGTTTGCAAATGAACTGTAGGAAAATTCCTTCTGCTCCTGCTGTTGCTTTCTCACACAACTTTCTACCAGATCTTCCTTTAGAGTGTTCAAGTGTTGGACTGTAATGCTGTCCAATGCAAAGTAAAAA